GGACTGATATCATACTGTATTTTAGTTTTTTTTTTTTCAAATTTAAGTCTTTTTTTACAATAAATTTTTTAATCAAAAGATGTACAAAAATCGTTATTTTTTTCTAATATGACCGGCTTCCTCCCCCACCACCGGAGCCAACTCACCACCAGGTAGTGGTCAGTTGACAGCTCCGCCCCTCTCTTCACCCGAGTGTCCAAGACATACGGTCGCAGATCCGATGAAACGATGACAAAATCGATCATCGAACTGCGGCCTAGGGTGTCCTGGAAAGTCATGCCTTCTAACCCAAAATGCTTACTTTAAAGCAGGTAGCGTGGCAGTTGATTTTCATGTCGTCCAGGATCATCTTGGCGTCTCCAGTGAAGGGCTTACGGCAGACAGTGCACAGGTCCTTCTCAAGCACAGTTCTGGATCGAACAAGAATTTATGTTGTGTTTAATGGACAAATATTAACATTGTAAAGAGATATTTTATAAAACTTCTCAACTTTTGTGCCACACGATTGGTTGTATGGCAGCAGTAGCTTGAAGAACTGAGACATACAACTAAAAGATAATCATAGTTGCCAGAGGAGGAAACTACGGAGTCTGTCTGGTGATTTTGAATGAAAAAAATATGAATGCACGGTCACAAGAAAAATAACTCATGGCCATGTGTTAGTTAATGCGTGGACACTAGGTAATTTTGAGTCGTGAGTTTGTGAAAGATACAGACATTGTTGGAGTAAGATTATAAAGGAATATGCTGTTTGTTTTTGCCTGTTCCATACATGTCAAGACGTATGGATTGTCTGTAATTTACACAGATTTTCTCTTATTTTGCAGGTATACAGATGTAGAGAGCGATCTCATTTTTTAAATTTTTATGGACTTTGTCAAAAACTCAGTTTCAAATCTGTTTGTCAGAGCCTGTAGGATGTTAAAAAAAATCAAATAACCAGCTTCCAACCTGCTCTGCCTCTAGAAATAAGTTCTCCCATCCCCATYGCATCCTGCTTTTGCTGGTGCTGTCACCTCCGCAGCCGACAGTCCGCCTGCATCCCCCCAATCCCCAGTGAGTGTGATTAATACAGATTTTTTGGCAAATACGTATTATGGATATTTGAGGCTTATCATTACAGGTAAACGTCCGAAGTGGTTTACATGTATGCTGTTCAAAGTTACCACACTCTTATCATTATTATTATTATTATTTATTTATTTTTATCATAATTAATTGAGTGAATGTTTAATCTAATTGGTAAACCTCCATGTTCAGTCTAAATGGTCAATTTTACATTGCAGTCGTAGTATTTACTTAATAGTATTTACAAAATGACATTGAATGCCCTAGGGCCTAGGTAAATAGTTTTTACCATGTTCCTGAATGTGAAATAATTCTGAGCAAGTGACAAAAGTAATTCATTCCTATATTAAAACAAAACAGAATAAATTCAAACTCTTTGCAAACAGTCAACAGTCTCTGTATGGAAATGACTACAATAATTATCTCATGGCCGCACATTGGGCCTCATGCAAGAACATGTTCGTATTCTTATCCTAAATTTCTCTTACTTTTGTTCGTATGAAGGGTTCGTACGAACATGTCACGTCAGATTCAACAAACTCTTCTATCTTCAGGAAAAGTGTGTAAATGAGCTGCGTAAATTCCACCTGTTCGTAGCTGCTCGTGCACGCGAGAGGAGATTAGCATAATTACCACCCCAGATACACCATATAAGGCTGTGTTTCCTGCCTCAGATATCAGGAAGTGTCCATTCATGAAAATGACAGCAAAATTAAAAAGAAGAACTTTACGAGTTCAGAGATTGAAGTCCGTCTGTCAGAGATCCAGAAAAGTAAATCTGTCATTTTTTGCAGTGTCAGCTGTGGAATAAAAAGAGCTGCTAAAAGTATAAACAACTGTGTTAAATCATTTTCATTTATTCAGAAGCCACACCGTTGCGCACCGTACACCACCCCCTCCCCCGTGCGCCGCGCGGTCGCAGGTGGTCTCAGTTGCGGGTTTGAAATAAGCATTTTAAAATGTTTTCAAAATATGTCTGGCCCTTTGGAGAAAATCCAGGACTTGCTAGAGGGA